ATGCAAATTGATGATTCAACTTGCAGGCGGCTGGATGCAAGCCACATATTCTTCGCCATGGGAATGTGTTTTTCTTCACCACACTTTCTGAAGGCCATCCTGATACAGAGAAAGCATGACTTCACATCATTTCAAGAGCGCTTCTCCGCACAACACTCGCTTCTTTGGCAAGGACCTTTGATGAAGGCTCTACGTGCCAAGACCGGGAACGAGCTCATTCACTTACATGCTGTCCAGGCAGCTGCAGAGTTTCCACGCGACATCGAGTGCGGCGAGGTCCACTTCATGTGGTTCCAGTCCACGTAGGTGTGGATCTTTGATCAAGGTGAAATCGAATCCGGATCAAGGGTACAAAATTCAAGTGTTTTCTTTTTTTTGCACAGATTCATCCTGCCTTTGGTTGAACATCACCATCGCAATTCGGCTTCGTCTTTGGGCAGATGCAGGCAGATGCTTTTGTGTTTTCAGATGGTCATTGTGGGGTCACGCCCACACGCTTGAAGCGGGACTTCGGACTTCGCCATTTTTTGTCACAGGCCGGTGTGCCAGACTTTAGCGAGGCCATTGTGAAGGCCAGGCAGCTGGGCGGGGCAGGGTGGTTTCTTCCAGGAGCTGAAGGAGCAAGGTTTTTTGTTTCAAATGGCCTCCCTCAGGTTTGACTCAGATCCTAAAATATGCAAAGTGCAGATGCTCGAATGGCGGTGTCAACATGTGTCAACTACCTTTCTATATGCTTTGTATCGGTACTGTGGAAAAGTATGTTGGCACCAATGCCTGGTCAGTTTAGGTAGATTGAACAACCCAGGAAGAAATGGAAGACACGATGACTCTCCGAGAGGAGTGCTGATGGTTCATGTCGACTTTGCGGCTTTGCATGATCTGAACGCGCCAGTGCTGCATCGCTAGGGGTCAAGCTGGGGGCCCCTTGTTGCTTGCTATCAGCTATCCTGGGCGACGAGCCCAGAAGGAACCCCCTCCAAACCAGCATCCAGTTGATTCTTCGATCATTCGATCTATACTGTGGTTGTTTGACGTTGCAAAACCCAGCCCTTGAGGCATCCACCTACTTGCCGGCCAGCATGGTGGCCACCGGTTGCAAATACGAGAAGACCAGGCACGTTGAGCCAACGTCACATGTTGGGCCTTTTGAGCCAATCAAGGCTGAAGACCTCCAACTAATAGGTGTTGGTTTATTTCCATTCTTCCACGGGGTCTTTTAGAGGTTGTCTTCCTATTGTCAATACATGGACTCGTGGCAGGTGTTGATGTGAGAATCTGTGAAAGCAGGTAAAAGACAAGTTGCCAATCAGGATGGTGAACGAAATTGCACGCCACCAGAGAATGGGAAGCGCGTGGGCGTGTGTGGGCTTTGCAATTGTTGGGCTGTGAAAGTCTTTGGCACCAACTTAGACTCATGGAAAGTTTGCCCTTTTCTTCACTTCTTTGTCTATGCTTTGACCGGTTGTTTTAAACTTAGAATCTGCTTTGGGTATTTTGGGGTGATAACTATGATATCTTATTCATAGCATCTCAGCTAAGCTGCTTTGTACTCACGTTGTGACGCTGACTGGGTCGCCCAAACGAAGCCGCCACCCCGCCCGGCCGTTCCAGGCTTTTGGTCTTCAAGCCGGACAACTACGAGAACTTCCGGGCAAGACAAATGGGGAGAGGTCATGGGCTGTACTAAGACCATCCGGACTGGAATATATGCTTGCTGCATTGTGACCCCTTTTTAGACATGGCAATGGGGTGTTGGGTAGAATAGAAGCTGATTCCGAGATGTTTTCAGAGGGGATCTGTTGATGATAGACTGTTCCACCGATTGTGGGGATCACTATAGCCAATGGTACAAATTTAGTCCAAGTTGTCCTTTTTGAGCCAACTGAAACTGGTTGTGTATCATGACTCGTTATTTTGTTTGATTGGTGGTTGATTTGTCTCATTTTGTCTAATCATATACCCCTTCACCTTCACATCCAGTGCGGCAACCCAGTTCACCCAGTGCGAATCGGCAACAGCAGCGCCAAGCGCCTCGATTCGCCGATGTCGCACCTCCAACCGCCCGCGTCGCCGTGCGGCGGACGACGCTTCGCTCGCTCCCTGCGTGGCCGATCGGGCAGGCGATGGAGTTCGTGGACCTCTCGGAGGAGGACCTGGACTATTGGAACAACGACCTGCACCACGGCGGCACCCGGTTGGTTCTTGGTATCCGTTGGATTCCGTTTTTCTTCGAGCGGGCCGGTCGAGAGGGTGGAAGATGGATGCGAGTGACGCGAGTGTTCTTGAAGGTGATTGAAGCTTTACTTAAGAGAGACGTAGGAGGGATATGATGCGGAAAAAACACGGAGACTTGCACCTAACCTGAGAGAGATGGAGATATCCGTGGTTTGGTGTGGATAGTTGATGCAAGGGCCGCACTGCATGCAGAATGCAGTGCAGAACCTATTGCACTTAGAAAGGGCAGTGCAGGCACAACAAGCAATAGCAAACTCATGGATTGAGGGGAGTTGGGAGTTTCATTGCTCAAACTCAACGCGTTTCAACTTTTGAAGTCGCCAGATTTGACCCTTCACTCCAACCTCGAACGAGTTGTACCTCACAACCTTGGTCCTCAGCGTCTGAGAACGAAAGCATTGTCCACATTGCCCTCGACGGACACCATGTTCTTCCCCTTCGGAACCTACAAGTTGGCGCGGAGCCCAGCTGGCACGCCTCAGTCCCTAGAGTGCTGGAAGTGGCCCAGCACGGTGCGGTGCAGATACCATTCAGTCATAGACATGTTCCAGAATCAGTTCAAAGCCAGAATCTGGCATTTCTCACTCAGTTCTGCCGTGGTGGCAGCACTTTCGTCACAATGTCATTTTTTGTTTGGTCATTGGTGATGCCTTCAACTTGAATGATGTCGCAGCTGCTGATGCTCAAAGAAGACCTCAGCATGAAAGTTCTACACGAGCAGAAGACTTAGAGCCTGCCAGCAAATGGGAGCATTTTGTGTGCTCACATGAAATTCAACTGTTACACTCACTCTTCCATATTCTTGGTCACCTCGGTGTGGCACCGAGCCAAGATACGCATTGGTATTCAGTCAAGACCTGCCAAGAAGTCTAGACCGGCTATTATTCAATATGTGTGTACTGGGCTTGGTGGGCCAATGGCCAAGGCATGCCAAGGCCCAATACAACCTGAAGGCACACAGAAATGAAGTCTAACCTGGAAGGGAGTTTGGCACAAGCACTCGACAGAGTGCAGAAGCCGAGTCTCAGGGAGCTCCGAATTCCTTCAAAATCCTTCAAAGTTTTATGGCACATGATCAACTACAACCTGCTTGATCCTTCTCATTTGAACCAACCAACCCAACCAGCCTAACCCATTCCAACCCCCTCAACCGAACCAACTCCGTTTTGGCGTCACCGCACGCCTTCCACGCCGGATGCATGCGAAGCCGCGCCGGGTGGTCGACCTGCGCACGTGGCTCGGATGAAGGACCTACACTCCAGGGAGTGCCATACTTGGAGCCAATAATATGGCCCAATATATTGATCCAACATGTGCATATCTACAGGGATTACAGCTTACTGGATGTTTAAAGCATGTTCTATTATTCTATATTATTCTTAAGTGCAGGCTAGGACAAAACGTACAGGTCCACTGCTGGTAAGGTGGCTTCTTTTTTTCGAGTTGTGTTTGTTTTGACGCTTTGCTTGCTGTTCTGGTGGTGAAGACTCCAGAATTCATTGGCAAGTGTTCTCTTTTACCTGCTGATTTCAAGGAGACCCTGTACAGCAGACGACCAGATGCAAGCCCATGGCATTTGTACCACCCGACTTCACCGCCCAGGCGATGCCAAAGCTTGAACAAGACTCGCTCGGTGGGCGACCTCCGCCAGGTCCAGGGATGGAGAGACTGGTACCGATCAGTGATGAGGTGGTCACAGCCAGAAGAAACTGATGTCTCCTACAGGTTCCCAGCTTAGTCGTCCTTTGGCCAGGTATATTGATAAGAAAGCTGTCCTTTTTGTAGGTGTTGGGCGGATGTTGGGTCCTGGCCCTTAGTACCAGATTAGATTTTAGTTCCCTCGAGTCAATGCCCTGGCTGTTTCTACTCCTGGCAGCTTGCAGGCGGCCCAGGCTCAAAGCAGCGCTGGCAAAGGAAGCCGCAGCCCAGGTGCGAAGTAGCTGTCGTTGTTTCTCTCACCCCTGTGCTTTCTCACCAGCCCCGTTTATTCGATATGAGATGATAAGATATGGGTGTGATATGGTGTGATATGCCATTTAGGTTAATCCTTATGCTGGTGGATGATTCCCTGCTGTGCCCATGCAATCTTTGTTGCCTACACCAGGCGGAGGCGGCGGAAGTGCACAGCTGGAGCCATTGCAACCAGTCTGCAGGTTTTGACATCAGCTATCACTACCTCATTGGTTGGTGCAAAGACAGCGACAGAGAGCAGGGCATTGCATTTCAACAACTTGAATGTTTTACTCAACTTGTACTTGGGCTTGTGAGGTCCCACTCCCTTGGTGACTGAAGACATGATTGATTCCTTTGCAGAAAGGTGGATATACATGCTATGCCAGGGGACTGCAATTTGCTGAGTCTCATGGGCCCTTGGAACTCTTTGGGTGCTTCTTCAGAGCAATTCGACGGACAAACCACTCTGTAAAGTGGGCAGTCCTGAGAATCACCGTAGAAAATGAGTGAACCATCTCAGATCATCAGAAAAGGTGAACCATCTCAGCTATCACTACCTCATTAAATGGTGTAAAGACACAAGTGACACAAGTGCATCATTCTGGCGTGATCATCTCAGAGTTAAAATACTTTAAGCCCTCCACATCATTGGCTTCAGGAGCTCTTGCCCTCAAGCTCCAATGGAACGAGCTCCTGAAGCCTCCACATCGACTGACAAGTTTGACAGACTGACATGGTCCAGCCCTCACACCCAAAACCAAGATCCGAGCAGGTCAAACTCGCCTCAGCAAAAGCGCTGAATCCGGTGAAACATGGTGAAACGCTTTTGCTTGCATTCTCGGAAAGCTCATTCAGCTTCAATTGCTTCTGGCACAACTTCCGCACATCAGCTTGCCATGTCCAGATCTCCAAAGCGTCAACTGCTTCGTCGCACCTCCATAGCCCTGCTCTTGCTCCTCAGTGCCTTGCAGCGGCGCCACGGTGGCCCTTGGCCCTCCTCCCTGGCAGCACCGGTGACCGATGCAGAGCTGCTCAGCACGGCGGAGCAGCGGCACGTGCAGAGGGTGGTGTGGCGGAAGTCGATGGCCGCTATCGCGGAGGGGAAGATGCGGCCGGGGAAGGAGTTGGAATCTTTGGCTGGGATAGTTTTGGGATGTTTGGGGTGGCCCACCGATTGAGTGTGACTGCTTGTGCTTTTTTGTTCTTTAAGTGACTCAGATTCATCAACCTAGATCACAGCCGTTTTGACAAGCAGCCCTAGTTTAGTGAAATCTCTCGATGGTTTGACAGTTTGACATGTGTTTCTATATATGCCACTTCCCACGTCCAAGTGGCCGCAGGTCATGCAAAAAGCCGCTGCTAGTGACTGACATGAAACGGCCTAGCAGAATGGCCTAAGGAGCTGATCTCAGCCTTGGACCTGGGGACGATCCCGTGGAGCCACGTGCCACGACGTTTGAAGGAGACGCTGAGGGTTGGACAGTTTGAAGGGGACGAACCGGTTTCGAGGCTTAAACCGTACCAACCTTCTGGCTGACAGAGGAGCAATTTTGTAGTCCAGCGGACTATGTCACATTTCGATTACTGTACATAATAATTGACCAGCGAAATCAAGGTGGGAGCATTCATGAGCCGTACTATAGATGTTCTTAGCCTTGCTTACACAGCTCAGCTAGCTAACTCTTAACCTCTAGCTCTGTAGCTCCAAATGCTCCAGGCCCATGGGTCACCTGGATCTTCAAAGCCCCTGCAGGATCGTTTGGCCTTGCCCTTGGGCGACCGCGGCATCGACTCCTTGGCCTTGAACCTCACGGTGGCGGTGCAAGCCAAGGACTACACCAATGGCCTGGTGCCTTTGAATCGGTCACTGGGTGGACCTAATTCTTTTAGAGGGTGTTTCGCCACCTTGTCAGGCAAGGCGAAGGTCATGTGGTGATTTTTTGGGGGCATGAAAATGGTTCTGCTTATGGAGCACCATGGTAGTGCGAATTGTAATGCATTAGGATGTTTTTCTCTAGGCAGCAAACCTTTCGATCAAATGTTTCAGACGTGACCACTCCAGCAATGTGAAAAGCTGATCAAAGAAAAAACACGACAAACTCTCCTGCCAAAGAGGCTTATATATACAACTTGCCCTGCCAGGTGAGCCCTACAAACTTAGACTGTTGATTCATCCTCTCTCAACAATAGGTGGTCAGTAGAAGTGTTCTTAAGCCTGTAGGCGTTCCTCTGACAAAGCTAATGGACTGAGGCTGGCGACTTTCTTCTTCCTCTCCAAAGCCTCGCCGTTGAAACGCTTCGTCCAGCAGTTGGTGGTCGCCACCACTGCGGGCACACGACTGCCGGAGGACTGGCTGCGCTGGAGTGGCGCGCAGCACAGGAAGTATCGGGCGGAGGAGTTGGAGAAGTGGAGGCGCAAAGCGCTGTGACTTGGACTCATTGGCAGGGAAAAAAAACACGGAAACTACCTCTCTCGGGTCTTGACGTCATCGTGCTTGTTTTCCTTTTTGTTTTGTCCGTTGCTTGAAGCGCCGCCGCAAGATACACTGGCACCAAGGAAGCAGAAACCTCCCGAGGAGCCGTCGAGATCATTGAAGATCAAATGTGAGCGTTGGCCACATCAGATTGCCACAAGCCTGCACGTCCTGTTTTCTGTTGCATTTGTCCTTTAGTCAGCGCTTTGGGAGCACTGACACCGATTTGTCACGCTTGCTTGTTCCTTGCTGTGCCCTAGCCCTAGTCCTAAGCACCGCTCTTTTCGAAGCCCAGCCAGGAATGCTTAAAGCGCTGCAGAGCTTTTCTGGATGATAAGACCAAGCGAGACTTCTTCGTGCAGATCGCCACGGGTGGTGGAAAGAGTCTTGTGATGACAGACCTGTTGGCTGACTTGGGTGATGGAAAGCGGGCATGTGTGACCTGGAATTGGAGGTCAGGCGATTTGTTGCAGTTCCACTCGGAGTTTGTTGCATTTCCCTTCAAAGTCGGCAACCCAAACAAAATTAGCAAACGTGTAGGATGCCTGGCCCCAAAGATTACGTTTATCGAGGATGTCTCATTTGTTATCACTTGCTTTAGGCTACTTCTGTCAAGTCGAATCTGCAGTAATTCCTTGCACTTCCAAGGTGATTGTGCCAAAGCTGGATCTCATGGAACAGTTCGCACAGATATTGGAGAAGAGACTCCCAGATCGTCAGGTGTCCCGGGTAGGCACCGGATTTCCGGCAAACCTGTCAGCAGAGGTTTTCCTGTGCGTTCGCAACTCGGCCTGGCAGCTGGAGAATCTGACCCTTGACTTGCTACTGCTTGATGAGGCTCACCACTATGAACCTTTGTCAGGACTGACTTGATGAAGTCATACAGTACTGCTTGTTGAGTTGTCGGGCTGTCCTTGTTTTCCACCCAAGTTTATATAGTTTCTTCCATTTTGTCAGCGGTGTGATCCACTCTATACGCATTGATGTACAACCCAAACCTCCATTGGCCAAGCAACTCAACAAGTCGGAGGAAATCCTGATTCGCCAGCAGAAGATGCCAACCTCACCGGTGGAATCCATGCCCGGCGCGTTCTGTCTCTCCATACGCCCAAGCGCATCTACTTCAGCGCGACGCTGCGGAATGAGCCGGACTTCGACTTCGGCCTGCGGGCGACGATCGAAGCTGGGGTGATCGAGGATTACACGGTGATGGTACCCGTGCTGACTGAAGGAGATCCTCGACCTAGTTTGGTAGAACTGATTAAGGACATGTCTCCTGGACTGTGCTTGCAATAGTAGTTTTCTCCATGCTTTTTTTTTAAAATGTGCATTGTGGGGATGTTCCGTTCTTGGTTGCCGCATTGTTGTTGCACCTGGATTAGTTGTGAATGCTATGAGCATGACATGATCAATCACGGTCTAAATTGTGTGTTTGAATATTTTGAGCTGCATGCTGCATTGGCGAGATTTGGCTACCAGAGGCCTTTGGCGAGGAAGATCCTTGCCTTTTGCAACACCGTCCATGAGGCTCTAGAATTTACCGCCCTGTTGTCCCATGCTGGCATTGCCGTTGCCCACTACAATGCACACACAGCGGCATCAGAGCGGCAAGAAATTTTGAATAGCTTCCAGCGCAGAGAAGCCTCTGGTGGAATCCGGGTTTTGGTGACGGTTGCTCGCTTTCGAAGAGCAAACATGTTGTCAATGTTTGGGATTTCATTAGTTTTGTGGGAGGCAGCATTAATCCACACAGCGGCACTAATTTAGCTACTTGCCGAGCACTGATTGAGGTTGACGTCTTGAGCGAAGGGGTGGATCTCCCGGCTGCGGACACGTGTTTGTTTGTGGCGCCACGCAGGGGCATCAGACTGCAGCAGTGTGTGGGAAGAGTGCTGTGGAAACATCCAAACAAAGTGGATGCATCCTCGGCATGTTTGGGGGGATTGTGTTTCAGAGGGAGCTATTATGTATTTTATGAGGTTGTCTAATGTTGAAAGGTACACAGCATATTTGATCCTTTTGGCGACTGTTTCTTCTAAGGCCTTGGTGATTGCTCCTCCCATGGTGCAATGTGCCAACAGCACCATGTTGGAAGATGCAGAGCTGAGTCGCTTACTGAGCGACCTTGCGAGTGCAGATCCGGTGTTTCAGGAGTCCTTGCAAGGGACAGCAGGGACACCCAATGGACGGGTCGATGTGTTGGCGGCATCGGACATGCAGCCCATGCAGGTGCAGGGTATGTTGGAGGCCGCGGCTGAGATCTTGCGAGTACATGTGTTTCCCAAGGTTTTGGCAGGCTGTGATCAGCAGTGGCGTTGGCAGCAGGGAGTCCAAGAGCTTCGAGCCTTTAAGGACGCGCATGGTCATGCAAGGGTGCCATCGAGGCATGTTGCGGCAAGCGGGTTCAAGCTCGGACACTGGGCAAATACCCAGCGCAAAGCCAAATCCACGCGGAATCTCACTGAAAAGCAGGTGAAGCTGCTTGAAGAGCTGGGCTTTGTTTGGAGTTTGCTAGACTGGAAAAGAGAACACATGTTGCGAAAGCTGGCAATCTACCAATGTCAGCATGGTCATGTCAATGTGCCGCAACGGTACGTAACAGATGACGACCTCAAGCTCGGGCAATGGGTGAATAATATGCGTAAATCCCAGGGCAAGAAGCTTAATAGAGAGCAGGTGAAGCTTGTTGAAAAGCTTGGTTTCCTTTGGAATGTGCATGACTTAAATTGGAGAGACATGTTCCAAAGACTGGCAACCTACAATTCTGAGCATGGAGATGTCAAAGTGCCGCGAAAGTATTTAACCGATGATGGATTCAAACTTGGATGCTGGGTGGCAACTCAGCGCACAAACAAGTCCAAAGGAAAACTCACCAAGCAGCAAGTGAAGCAGCTTGAAGAGCTGGGCTTTGTTTGGAATGTGCTTGCTGAGCA